TACGCCTTGATCTTCCCAGTGGTCCATTTCCTTCTGGCTTTCCCACCAATATCCTATACGCATTCCTCGTCTCCTCCATTCGAGCTACATGCCCTGCCCACTTCATCCTCCTTGACTTGATCATTCTAATCATACCAATTGTCTACAGGTTTAAGAAACTGAAAAAGTGGCCAAAGCCCAACAAAGGGCTGCAGAGCCATAGATAGATTGGTAGGTAGATAGGTTAGGTAGGTGAATGGGTGGGTAGATAGGTAGACAGACAGACAGACAGACAAACAGACAGATACAGAATCACACTGAGCAGTAATGGTTATTCTTGAGAAACTGAAAACTATAACAGGTTTGTATGTTTCACAGAGCCTACTAGAGTTACACTAAATAATATAGCAGAAAAACAATTTTAGTGCAATATTAATGGGAAACTTATAGAGGAGCAAGCTTTCTCAGACGGTAACGGTACTGGCTTGTATTCGGGGAGGGTGCCGGGTTCGAATCTCGGCCGGGACACCGGCTATCCTGAATGATGGTATCCGTGGTTTTCCTCACTCTATCGACGCGAATGTAGGAATGACAATTTGAAATAGGTCATGACCGTATAGAACTTCCATGACCGCTTCCTTCCATATTCTTTCCAAATCATCATTCATTAATCATTCTACTTTTCGACGCTGATAAGCTTAGTGTTGACAGTATCTTGAAATGAACCCTAAATGAATAGACAAAAGCTTGTGAGGTTCACTGACAGACATGTCAACCCTTTCGCTAATGGCAGAATTAACCGCTAGCTGACTAAAGCTGAGAATGGTCTCATTCTTGTGATTTCATAGCTGCCATGTTCACATAGTTACGTGGGGAAGTGGTACGATTGTTAATAGCCTTTTCACTAAGTCTCTCGTATTCTGTTTTCACTTTAAGGCAGATGTATCCAGAGGCAGACAGTTCAATAATTAGATATTAAAGGGTTCTGACGATGGTGGATGACACACAGAATTACTTGGATTTTGGACTTTTTCCATCGCCCAGAATTCTAGGTAAGAGAGGACACGAAGTTTCGGAAACTGGATCTGTTTCCGTCTTCAGGTGAGAAATGAAGACACTTAGTGATTGAGATTAGCTCTTTCTAAGGGGCCTAACTGAGTAGGTGTCTTCATTTCTCACCTGAAGACGGAAACGTCGTGTCCTCTATTACCTAGAGTTCCAGACGATGGAAAAACTCCAAAACATCAGTAATTCTGTGAGTTCAATAATTGCTTCAACGTCGATTCACTTACCATTTAATTAAGAATATTCTCTTCTGGAGCTGAAAGCGATAAGGTCATTATTTTCCTTGCAAAAATTAACGAAAAACAAGGATTTCATTACATGACAATGCTCTGCCATTCTAATCCCCTCGAAAGTTTCCCCGAACTCTCCCACGGCCTGCTTGTTTGCCAAGATTCTGTATAATGAAATTACTCTGCCCCATAAGCCTTCATCACCAAGGCTTATTGGGAATAGTGATGTCATTAGATAGAATAGTGAGGGCTGAAACATTTCTTGGAAATGTGTATGTACATGTATGTTTCAACCTAAGACACGATCGAATAACTTAAAAATAACAAAGATTTTATCAACCGGATAAGGTACAATTACGAGAACTCATTCACCAGCCAATAAGTCCTACCAGCTCACTGAAATATCAATAATTTCAGAAGGTAATTCTAAACTGGAGCAGGCCAGAAAGCATAATACGTAAATGCTGATGAATATTCTCTTCCTCACTTTCTTGCGTCAGTTTGGTCAGATCTGGTTGGTCAGTGGAAGTCTGAAGAAGATGAGACGTTTCAGAGTTAGCAGCTGCCAGTCGATTGTGAATAGAATGAAGAGTATTTTATTCAAGAAAAACACTTAATAGCCGGATGGGCTGGAGATAAAAGATAAAATCGATCACTTATACACATTCGCTTCGTCTTAAATGCAACTTTATTTACAAGTACTCTTCAAAAATAAAAATTAAAGATTAACAAGTAAAAGAATGGAAATTAAAATTGCGAAATGTCTCGGCCGTACTGGGATATTTTCAGGCAACTGTTCAACTTGTCCAAATTTCCTACACTGTATTTTCAATGGTGCTGGGGGGTCAGGATACATGTTTTGTTTTCTGGTGAAGGCTTTTCGGTTAGTGTTGTGTTATTTTCGTTATTTTGTAGCATGGTTTTGATAGTGTTTATTTGTGTTTCTTTTGCTCTTTTGTTTATTGGATACATGTGTAATCGATTTAGTAGGTAGTTAATACATGCCATTTTCTGATCATATGGATGGCAGGAGCTATTAGGTATGATATCAGTTTGTGCGTGTTTCTTATATACTGAAAATTCAAATTTTTTGTCACTGCAATGTATTGTTAGATCTAATAAGATGATATCTTCGTGTATTCCTTTTTCTGTAATAAATGTTATAGATAGTTTTACAGCAAGCTTTAATTTCCAATTTTTAATTATTAATCTTCCGGTCTATAAAACCGAGATTAATAGGCGTGGAAATCCGCTGCGCTGAACACGTGACACCCTCTATCAGCAAAAGTTGGTAATACGTCGACAAGAGGCGGTCGCTCGGTCGGTATAGTTCGCTTTCGGACAACAGGTCACGGAGTTTTTTAACTGTTTAACTCTCAGTTTTATTTTTTAACTTTAATTGTATATAAAGTTACATTTAAGACGGAAGTGAATGTGTATATGTGATACATTAACATAGAATATCCTGCCACCAGGAAAGCATCAGGTGTCATCATTTTGCAGATTGCATCCGTTCTGACATTCTCATGTACTGAGTCTCAGCCGTTTGCATCATACGACAAACTGAGCATTATGTCAGAGAAAAAATAATCTTTCTCATTTTCCAGAAACTTTATTTTTATAGTCCTGTTCATTTTAGTGTCACAATCGTCGCAGACGGACCCTTTGAAAGCCACGTACCAAGTAGATTAGCTTTGAGTAGTACACGTTAACTCCGCCGCAGCCAAAGATATCGGCTCGTTGTTAATCAAATAGTTCAGTATATGTCAATAGAGGGCATCAAGTGTTTAGAACAAAGACCAGGCTTTCCCATGACTAAAACGTGTTGCAAGGCCGCGTCATAGCTCAAGCGGTTAGTCGCTGGCTTCCCACCGCGGCGGCCCGGATTCGATCCCGAGTCTGGTCAAGTGGGATTTGTGGTGGACAAAGTGGCGTTGGGGAAGGTTTTCTCCGAGTACTTCGGTTTTCCCTGCCAATCTTCATTCCACCAGTTGCTCCACAATCACCCTCAACTATCATCTGGGGCTTGTACAATAGGCAAGAAGTGGCCGCAGAACAGGGGTTTAGTCACACCCCACTAGCAATAAAAAGAGTGTTGCAGCTGCTATAATTATATAAACACTAGTTTTGTTAGCAGAAACACAGTTATAGTGCATCATTAAAAAGGAACTTGTGTTCAAATGCAGGAACATTTACGTGTAAATGAATTTTATGTGACTGATTATTACTTTCGATATATCACACGCCATCTAATCGATAGGCAGGTCCTACTGGTTGAGAAACACCGGTTTAGACAACTCTCTACAGCATATGTTCCTGTTACTCTTGAGTGCAAATAAAATGCTACCCTTGGCATATTTATTTGCTTTTTAAACTTTCAATTAGCTTAATGACATCGTCATTATGTCTCGTTCTTATTCTAAAACGCATCCGTGTGTATAAGTGTGTGTGTGTGTGGGGGGTTAATTTGAATATATAAGACGTGTTTTGCACGAGATACATAAAGGTGCACGCATTGATAATAATTTCCCTGTGCTGGAAATAATTAAGAATTTAATGGATTAATTTTTGAATCCGAATTCATCCTCTTATTCTAGGAAATAAATCAATTATTTTTATAAACATCAGTGCACGTATTATTAATATATTGAAAAATCAATCTTGAACATACGTGTTTACGATCATCCTCCGAGGGATTTTAGTGTAACTTAATACGAGAATGTAACTGCAGGTTCTTGTCTTGCTTATTTAAATAAATAAACCTCAGCCCAAATAAGCCTAGGACAGATAATACAGATACACATAAACTTCCATATATATAAACAGTAATAAGGTGAGCGTGCCAGTAATTAAAAATCTGTCATTCAGAAATTTGGATTTGGTTTTGTACGGGGTGAAGCGGAACCCGATGAACCCCTGCTATAAGGGTAGTATCTTACGAAAGGGAATCAAGTGGGTTTTATTCAACGGCAGAAACTACATGCGCATGATATTTATGGTATAAAACACTTTTAAATGACATTCCATGACCAAAAATTGCGAGAACTTTACATATTTACACTTGTTTTCATGATATTAGTCCTGGGAATCCAGTACTCACTAACAGGTTAGGTTTCACATGAAGTAATGTCAGTAGGCAGGAATAATCTCTCATGGTTTGTAGTGGTGATGGGTTTAATGACGCTTCAGGAACATTGTTTGTAAACCTTGTAAATTTATACATTACATTTTTCTTTGTGGCATCTTAATCGTTACACTGTTATTAATGGCGATCTTAATACGGGCAGAAACATGCAAACAGTAAAATAAATTACCTCATATATCTTAACTTTAGATAAAGATGATTATTATACATTACACACTGCGATCCAGAAACATGGTTACTGCCAGGGTTCCTTCCAAGGGAAGACAGCAAGAAAAATAGCTGACAAACTGAAATTGAAGCTATTTTCCATTCTCTACAGGCCCCAGGACATTAAGGGTAGACGGATCTTTTATTTTATATAATTTTTGGTATTAACATTTGGTATATTTATTTCTTTCTCCCATTGTGTTTGCTTTTTCGAAATAATCCAGGGGGGAGGATGCCCGGTTTCCCCCCTTCCCCCCATGGCCAATGTCTACAATGTTCTGTGCACAAAACAGTAAATATGAGAAGAATAAAAACACCGTAATTTAATTTCAAATACGTATATTAACAATTACAATTCTATCTGATAATTTCTGTGCAATGCAGCACAAAGTAGCACCCCGCTCCTACGATCTACAATACTCACAGGATGAATGTACTGGCGCGAACCTTGACGTAGGGAGCTATGCACGCGTATATTACAAATACAGTATATTCCAACTCAAGTCTTGTCCTTCCTTCGTGCATTTTATCTCCATACAATGGCAGCACTTATTATTTATAATCATCCACACTAGAAATTTGGTGTTACGACTCACTGAAACTTAGTGGTGACCTTTGCCGCCACCGCCACCGCCGTCTCCTTTGCTGTACCCCCACTTCTTGCCATCCTCATGGCCTTCCTTTTTGTCGTGCTCCTCTTTGTGTGCATGATGTTCCTCGTGGCCCTCCTCTGCCTTGTGGCCCTTGTGGTCGTCGTGGTGGTGGCCCTTCTCATGATGGCCCTTCTTGCCGTGGTGTTCATCATGGTGACTGGCCTTGAAATGTCCTGCCTTCTTGTGACCTCCCTCCTTGCCCTCGTGTTCGCTGAAGAACTCACCGAACTTGCTGTGGTCGCCTCCCTCATGGTGTTCATCGTAGAACTCGTGTTTTTTCTCATACTCGTCCTTCTTGTGAACATTGTGCTCACCCTTGGTGCTGTGTCCCTTTTTGTGGCCTCCCTCTTCACCGTACTTCGCTCCCTTCTCCCCTTTCTCCCCGTGATGATGCTCGCCATGGTGGCCTCCACCTTCATGGTGCTCGGCTTTCTTCCCTCCATGGTCGCCGTAGTGCCCTTTGTGTGCCTCCTTGTCGTGATGTCCCTTTTCGGCTTTCTCGTAGCTGTGATGTCCCTTATAGCCCTTATCTCCTTTGTGGCCTTCAACTTCGTGGTGGTGTGCGTGATGCTCTTTACCGCCTCCCTTCTCATGATGTCCTCCACCTCCACCGCCATCTCCGTGTCCAGTCGCTGATGACTTCTGATCGGTATCTGCCACCGGTTTCTTCAGTTCTTTATCACTGTGATGTTTAACTTCCGTCGGAGCGGCATGCTGCTCCACTATCTCTGATGCTCCACCGTGGTACTTCTTATGCTCCCCTTCATTGCGTCTAACAGGGACCTCTTCCTCTTCTTCCACAGTATGCTCTCGGTGAACCTGTTTCCGTCCTCTCGGTTCCTCGCGAGGAGCAACGGCATCACGATTCCTAGTTTCATGCTGTTCCTCCACCTCCTCGGCTTCATCACGAAGCCGCTTCCTCCCTTGCTGCTCTTCACGGATTTGTTTGCGACTTTGTCCGTGATGCGTTGTCTTCTCACGTCGTGCCTGGTGGTTGTTCTCAGTAGCAGCGCTTTGATACTGTTGCGTTGGGCGTGGTGGTGGAGTATGATGGACTACTGTAGCATGTCTCGGAGCTATCTTAACTGGCGCATGATGTCCGGAGGCTCTGCGTTGTTGTTGTTGTTGTTGTTGCTGTTGTTGATGATGTTGATGTTGTTGTTGCTGTTGTTGTTGCCTTTGTTGACTGCCAGAGGACGCATGAACGATACTTCCTTGTGGCTTCTGATCTGTGTTCTTTGTTGTATAGGAATATGACACCGGTTTTACGACAGTGGAACTCTCTTCAGGAACAAGATCTGAGAGGACTACGTGATCTTCAGATGGTTGGCTCAATAAGAAGTCTGGATTGTCAGCATCACTCCTGATGCCAACATGGAATGCGAGGGTCACTTGAAAGAGGCAGAAAGCCGTAAAAATGCTCCGCCTATGCGGACCCATTTCTTGAGAAAGTAAGCACTGATTCAAAGCGCCTTGTTAATACACGGCTTCTTGTCACACTGGTGCCTCGTGAAGTCAGCCTACCGTATTTATACACCACGCTGGGTATCTGTGTAGTCAACTGTATTCTAAGAGTCATGGTACAGCTGCCGTCGATATTTCTGCTAGAACTAATTCCAAACTGTCGTGTAATCCCCCAGCAGCGTGTTTCTGTTATGTGGCTTGTGTTTGTGGTTTTTAAATTACAATTCAGAAAAAAAAGAAAAGGAGGGGGGGGGGAATAAGTAGGAAAGGAGATGAAGAAGGCTGAATCACAGTGCCGACTGGAGCTTACCGCGTCGCGACTACTTTCCAAAAACGTTAAACCTGCAAATTACTCCCAGTCAGCAAATGTCTGAAGTAACACTATATTGTACACAATACCAAGCAGCATTCCAGTATGAACCATTGTTCTACTCCAGCTACTTGAACCGCTTCAGTGAATATAAAGAAATCGGTGCATAAAAAATGTACAGTATGTGCAAGAATGTTTAACGGTTTGCAGTATGATTGCCACAGAGTAAAGTTGTCGAGATTGCTCTACAGAATTTGTCACAATGTCGTTTCAAAGTAATTATACACACATATGTACATGTGAAATAGTAATTAAATTATTATGACGAAACTTTTAATAGGAAACAGAAAATGTTAGAGAGAAGATGCAGATATGATGACGCCACTTAACAGGGTAAGCTTTTTAACACCAAGATTATAGGGTCATGCATATCTACGCGTGGATAAGTAAGCTGATATTCATGAAACACAGTAGGAAGGTAGTTTCAAGTGCTTAAGAAAACTGGATAATTAGGCGCTTCGTAATTTGTACTCGACAAACATTGCCACAATGATCAAATCAAGGAGTGTACGATGGACACGGCTTGTGACATAGTATAAATGAGAGAAGTTCATACAAAGTTTTCGTGGGAAAACTTGAAAGACAGAGAAAAATATGAAGACACAGAAACTAGAAGGAAAATATTAAAATGATTTTTAGACAAATAATATGTGAAGTATGGATTGGATTCATCTGGATCAAGATTTGGACAAGTGGCTGACTTTCGTGAATACAGATCTGGGCTTTCGGGTTTCTTGAAATGTTGATGATTCCTTGAATGGCCGGGCAACGGTTGGCTTCTGAGGACTCAGCTGCAAGAATTAGAGGGCTTCTAGAGTTGGTATGGGCAGATGATAGAATGAAGGTGAGAGGGAAAAGAAAGGGCGAAGTCGGTTATATAATTCCACTACATTCTCCTTCTACAGAATGGAGAATTTCCTTGAAAGACATTCCATATGACAAAACTCGATAAGCTGAATTCAATTCCCATTAATTTAGGGGCAGTGCGTAGAGACGGGGTGACCCGAGACGGCATGTAGACCTCGAAGCCTGTTGTGTGAGTAATATCAGAATAATATAAACTATGCTATATAACTATATTTATTGTTGGCGCGTCTTTTATATAACGAAGACAGATTATATAACTTACTGATGGAAACTTTCCTCTATTATAGACACAGATAAACTATACCGTTGAAAAAGATGACCACAAACGCCATGTTACATAAATATATATAAACAAGCTGTGTATTATAAATACACAGCTCGAAAGAACTTTCCAGTAGACATTCGATATCATAGGAGATCAATATTTGTGTGTCGCCTCTATGGTCTAGTGGTCAGAGTCCCTGGCTACAGATCCAGAGGTCCCGGGTTCGATTTCCGGCGCTACCAGATGTGCTGAGGAGTAGTGGGTCTGGAACGGTGTCCACTCTGCCTCGTGAGGATAATTGAGGAGCTATTTGAAGGAAATAGCGGCTCTGGTCTGGAAAATCGAGATTAACGGCCGTGGGGATCCGTTGTGCTGACCACGCGACACCCTCTATCCGCAAAAGTTGGCACTAACTTCGCCGACAAGCGGCGGTCGCTCGATCGGTATAGTTCTCTTGCGGACTACAGGCCGTATTTTGTAAGAAGAACCGCGTATAAGTCATATTCGAGTTGAACTGTGTAATGTAGGGGCAACAGCGAACCAACGCGACTCGAAATTAAATTTGTTCGATAACGTTCAGAGTAGATCCCATGAAATTTAATTTCATTTGAGTATTTTGGGTAATTTGGGAGACGAATCTTGTTTGCTCTCATTTAATACGCTTTACACAAGGCGAGCTGGTCACGGCAGACGAGCGGTCTAAGACATGTACTGTCTTCGCTCGCTCGAAAGCCGAGATCGTGGGTTCGAATCCCATATAACGCATGGATGTTTGGTGTGTGTATGTGTGTATTTTGTGTTTGTGTTACCCTGTGTTTAGGTAGAGGTCTTGAGACGAGCTGATCACCCGGAGGCCTACCGTCTGTAAAATGATCACTGAAACTGAGAAATCAGCCCTATGATCCACAGTGGGAGCGAGAGAAAAAAGAATACAAGGAGAGATGGCAAATTAACGAATTATAATGCTTGCCCATAACACACTTCTTTATTCTTGCACATTTTATAATGAAAAACGATTCTATACATAAATTTGTCCGTGTGATATAACAAAATTATATGTAATGGATGATAGTTTTTCGTTGTGCGTTATTTTTAAACATGCATAGGTAGAAAGTCAGTAAGAGTAAGTAATGATTAATTTGCTTAGCACAGAAAATAATTAATTGAATGTTCCTGCTGAAAAAAAAAACCCGACAATAAATCAGCATCGGCTTAAAAATTCGGAACTGGAGTCCTTATTCTTTAATCAGCTGTAAACTATTCATTTTATTTATACACAAAAGAGAATTTTTCTTTGGAAACTAACAGTAGCTCAGCTGGTCAACTAATTCCCTGATTTGTTTAAACCCGTAAGTACATTAGTAAGTATATTAGTACACGCAACAGACTTGGCCACTGGTCCACATTCTGATCCAAATGAATACAGCCACCTCAAACTTATTTCTAAAAGATCTGTCTTAATACCTTCTATCCCACGTCAGCCGAGTTTCCTGACAGAAATTTTTATGTATTTCTGTCTTTACCATTCCTGCAAAGCCGTCTACCTTATCCAGTTTGATCTGAGTATTCTAATATTTGACGAAGGACACACATTATGAAGTTCATCACTAATACATTTTTTTCAGCGTCTTGTGTTCTCTTCAAATATTATCCCCAGCGCCAAATTATGAAATGTCCTCAGTCTATCTACTCGTAAAATCAAATTTTCGTTTATATTCACATAAATATATGCGAAGTAATCATATCTGATGGTTTTAAAACGTGTTATTTTCTGAGATAAAATGTCATGTAATTCACTGAAAGTCAACCGACGTTTCAGAGGAACATATCGCCTACATTTTCAGGAAGGAATAAGCTGAACAAGGGGGCCAGAGCGGCGTCCTGAGGTACGCCTGCATGTATGGGCTTCAATTCATAAATTTTTCTTCCGTTTTGACTCTGAAGGAGGAGATTGGAGCTGTGTGTAACCTGCAGATGAGCCCTTTTGTCCAGACCGAGTCGTATGCTTTGGACACGTGAAGGAATATGGCTGATGTGTATGCCTGATCATTGTATTGTCAGTAACATATTCTGTGAAGGGCAGTAGTTGTAGTGACCTATCTCGTCCTGGTAAGAATGCAAACTGTTCGACAGGAATATGGCATGGCATAGCGCTGGATATATTTGTCTATAGAAGGTTTGTTTTCCGTTCTTTCCCAATGGTACCTAATAAACTAATTGGCCGCTTGACCTGTGGAAAGGCGGAGTTGTTGGGTTTTGGTATGGCTCTGACATTTGGAAACGAAATGCAGGAGTTATGATTTTCGTTAAGTATGTGACGGCAATAGCCCGTCACGGTAGCCGAGCGGTCTAAAGCATGCACTGTCTTCGCTCGCTCGGAAGCCGGGATCGTGGGTTCGAATCCCACTAAGGGCATGGATGTTTGTGTGCGTTTTTCTGTGTTTGTGTACAGGTAGAGGCCTTGCGACGAGCTGATCACCCGTCCAAGGAGTCCTATCGTATGTGTAAGATGTAGAAAAACCGAAGTGAACAGAGAAGTTCATGGAGGTGGGGCTAGGCCCACTGGGGCTGTAGTGCCAAGAAAAAAAATGTGACGGCAATAAGGGGAAGGCTACTTAAATCAATATGTCTAATGTTATCGTGACCCGGAGCCTCTTTTGGGAAGACGATTCGGTGTACTGTGGTCGTGGGGTTTACTGGTTGCAGCTAGAAACGTGCAGCAATCTTTCGCCTTATCGACAACTTGTCCTCCTATCTTCTGCAGTTGCTGTGTAGGTAAGTCCCCTTCTGCCGTGAATTACTGGGGTGTGACGCTGGGTCTGATGCTTTGTGAACTGTTTTGTTATTTTCCAGATAACTTTTGTTGTACTTGCATCTTCAATACCGTACTTAAACCTTTGAATTCTGATGTCTTTTGAATAACTTTTTACGAAGTTGTACTGCTTGCGATCAGCCGCTGTGTTAACCTAGTAATCGCCTCGGCTGGATTATGATGTGTGGACAGGAGTATCGGTCACTAGGTGGACCCTGGTTTCTCAGATGTGGTGAGTCCATTCTCGTAGTTTCTCTTATTATAAGGTGCTATTGTAATACTATTGCGTCACTCGTGGGTTGCCTGCATGTGTGATCTGTCAATGGAAGATCTGGTTTGGTCTGGTGTAGGAGTGCATGTCTAATTTGTCGGTGCTGTAGGATCGTGTGGTCGTGTTGCCTGGTGCGTTCAATAGTTTTGCGGATGTGATAATTAAAAATAGCACAAAATGGATAACAATTCTATAGATCGTTCATTATTTTATTCTGAAATCCTTAAAAATGTTGGACTCAAATTTATTAACCCGTTGAAAAGTTATCGCACTTTTAATTGTCATTATTTCTACACGTGATTTTATGGAAGTTCGTTAAGTCGTACATTATATTAGATGAAACACATGTAAAAAGTAGTACCATGTATTTCAAAATATTTACAATTATAATTCCAGCCTTTAGGAATAATGTTACAGGATTACATTTACATTCACTACACCGTTCAGGAGAAATTAATAATAATGTTTTCAAACTATGAATTTTACTGTATTTGCAAGCTATTCCCTGTAGAAGTGTGGCAACGTTGGAAACAGTTACACAGCAGCGTAGCAGAAACTGTAGCGAGTTTCTATAAGAGGTGCAATCACAGGGCTCTAGAATAGAATTAATTTAAGATAGACTTTTTGTATGAATATAAATAATTACATTTTTATTAAATTAATAAATTAATTAATTTA